TTTCTAAGGTTCTTCTTCTACAAATTAAAAAAAGGTTGTTAAACAACTGAGTGGTGCACTACCGCTACTAGTGGTGAGAAAGTGTATTACACCTTATTTAAAATCAATGTGGTCCCACGGCCCTCTGAGGCCCAAAGTTAAAAACTGTTGTTCTTTTGAGGCCCTCAAGGTGGCGCTCGCGGCCCACAGGTTAAGAATCTCTGCTGTAAGTGCTAACTGAGCTCTGCCTACAGCTAGCATCAACTGTTGAAGTCAAGGCTAATGGTCTGTTAGCAGAATATTTATGTAATGAGTCTTCACTGTACGTGCTTCTCAGAGGACTCTGGAGTGACTCGCTCAGTTTTACAGAAATAGATGTAAAGTCTGAGTTTTTAACTTCTTTTTTTAGCTAAATTTTTGTCACTTTCAGACCTCCTGTCTGACGCGCTCAGACAGGAAACTGAGCTAAGTAAGTGAGGAGTGTTTGTTTTTCTGAGTGGTCCCTGAACGCACCATGTTTCTGTTTCAGGCCCGATGAGTTTAAGTTCGGCTGCACGTCTCTGCGGGTTCCTCCTGAGCTCCTCTTCCAGCTCCGGAACCACATCACCGTGTCGCCCGGCGGCATCGCCTTCGTTAAGGTACGGCTCTGAACGAACGAGGGGGGCGGGGTTTGAGGGCTGGAAGCGGTTCAGAACATGGACSTGTGTGCGTGTTGTGTTCAGTCGTCGGTGCGTAAAGGAGTCCTGCCCAGCATGCTGGAGGAGATCCTCCACACCAGGATCATGGTGAAGCAGTCCATGAAGAGCTACAAGCAGGACAAGAGCCTGACCAGGCTGCTGGACGCCCGGCAGCTCGGACTCAAGCTCATCGCTAACGTCACCTTCGGCTACACCTCTGCCAACTACTCTGGACGCATGCCCAGCGTGGAGGTGAGCTCACGGTCAGCTCTGGGTCAGATACAACATGAGCCCCTGTGAAGCAGGTCTTTATCTGTCCCCTCTCAGGTGGGAGACAGCATCGTCCACAAAGCCAGAGAGACCCTGGAGAGAGCCATCAAGCTGGTCAACGACACCAAGAAGTGGGGAGCACGGGTCGTGTACGGAGATACAGACAGGTGGGCTGGATCAGGGTTCAACAAGATTTTTTTTTCTTTACCTGCCCGACATGAAAAGTTACCTGCCCGAAACAAAAATGTTCAAAATTTGATAAAATAAAAGAAAAGCGTGTACCGTATTTGTACTAAAAAATATTACCATGATTATACAGAGGAATATAATATATAACATCTGATTAAACACATGCAAACATTAGACTGAGTCACTCACAGTCGGTCTGTTTTATCAAAAACATCTTCTGAAACCTTTTGTAGACCTTTCCAGTGTTCCCCCTAGAGTCCTGGCCTTGGGGGCGGGGCTTATGAAACAGACTGATCAACAGCAGCAGCTTCGTTTTAAATACAATTTACAGAACATGAAAAAGTCTGAAATTTACATTAATTGAATCTTATATAGTGAATCTCATATCCAAAGATACATTTAAGATATCTTTAACTGGAGTCTCCACACAACTTAATGATAAATCAAATGTTATTTATACAAGTCAGAATATAATTAGACATATCTTAAATATGTGTTTTGAATTGTCAAAATATATTAAGAGATATCTATTTGTGTGTTTTTTTCATTTATAAAAACAAAACAATCTATGTACAGCATTAAAACAAAGTAAATCATACCCTGAATTAAAGGTTACAGAGTGAAGAAAAACTCACATGTGCCTTTTATATTTAAAAAATCAACTTCAACAAACAAACAAGCTCAAGCTGGAAAGATCTCCAAATTAAAAAAATATGTAAATAAAACAAAACAAAATAAT